GGGGAAACATGGATTACCTTTTCGAATTTTCTGAATATTTTACTGTATTGTTATGATAAAAAAAAAAGGGCGAAATAAATGAAATGAATGAAATTGAACTATCCAATTTTGTTTTCCAAAGCCTGATTACATTTAGAACGGATATTTTATCCAGCTATAAATTAGTTTACGGTACTTTAGGTGCGAAATACTACTTTATGAGTATGTACTTAACTAGGACTATACACTGACGCATACTATGTTTTTATACTCCTTTATTTAACAACAAACATAGCTACTGAAACAAACTACTGGATATTTATTTTTTTGGTCCAACCATCGTGAGAAACTATAGGAGGCTCTGGAAAGAGAGTCTCGATTTTTTAAATGACAAATATAAAATGTATAAATCTTACCGGAACCACTACCAACTCCTAAAAATTTCAGGTCTCTATTTTGTACACTTAACTTTGCAGCAATTCGGTTGTTAAATAATTCATCTGTCCATTTTGATACTGGTAACATTTCCCTCTTCATAATTTTATAGATTATCGCGTAGTAATCTGGATCATCTAAAATGGAACGAATATTACCCTCCATTGCATGTAGGCCTATTTAAATTGATGTATACTATACGATACGCCGTAAACCTCTCTGCAGTCTACCAACAAACACGATAACAACGATGCATTGCCCACCCGACCGCGGACGTAGCACCGGATTACAATACACATTTGTATAAGTTGATGGCGCTACACTACTAGGTGGAAGGCGGTACCTTGAAAGGGTTAGTTCACACTTGCCACAACGAGGTGTATTATTAATATTCATTCAGAGCCTCTGACGCACTGAAGTAAAACAAAAACTTATTATACTTTTACTTATACAATTACCAAAACAGCTCACATCACATAGTGCTTAGAATAATATGAGTATATTTCATTCATTTTTTCAAGTTGATGATGAGGATGATTATCTATTAAAACCATCTTACAATTCCTCCATGAACACACGTGACAAGGGTGGGGCAATTGTCATTGCCAGCGGCATTGCGCAGAGCGATGTAGTGACGGGCCTTGGTGAAATATAGGCCTAATTGACGGGCCCTTTAATGTGAAGGCGCGGCCGGATCGAGGGACGGATACAACTATAGTTTCTTTCTAACATCTCGCAAATCCGGAGTAGGCCTACATTTAGTAGGGGTACTTTTAAGTGTCTGAAAAAGGAACCTGATCGGACACAGAAACGAGCATTATAATAATGGAGTCTAATTCGGCGAAACTCTGTGAATGCTTATACATTATGATATTTTTTTGCCGATTGCGTTGCAGACTAATCGGGGAGCCTTCCCGATTGCGTCGGGGACTGCTACGCGGCACTACAACGACTGTACTGAAAACACTGTAGCTACAGTGTAGCGATTTTAAGGAAACTAAGCTTGTGTGCCGATATTTTAATTGATTTAATTGCAAAAAGTGAGGCTGTGAGTACTTGGGAGCATCATTGGGATGTTTGCAGGAGGAGGTAGAAAGAAAAAGGGCAGTCTCCTGTATAAATGACAATGTTGTGTCAACCTCCCATAGGCCTACGATTTCACTTTTATTGACACTTTGGAGGTTGAATTTACATTTAAAAAAATATATATATACATACATATAAAAAGCAAACATAAAACACATTAAAAAATCAATCAGTCGATTAAACAATATACAAATTACGAGGGTTTAAGTTAAAAAAAACATACAGTTCAACCAGCAAAATATATAAAGGAATTACAAAGAAACTAGATTAAAATAATAGTCATCCTAAAAGCTTGGCATCTAACAATACAATAAAAAATTACAATGATTTACATTGAAACAGTAAAAAGAGACATTATTATAATTTATTTTATTAAATATATTGTTATTTATGTTTAGACTTACTTTTAAAAAAAAATTAAATTTATTGTTATTTATATTTATATATATTATATTGTTTAAACATGAAAGCCAAAAATAATATTAGATTAGACTGAAAATTATTCTCATTAATGAATCTCCACCAAAGAAGAAAAAGCTTCTAGCTATTTACCAAACTAAAAGCAAATTCATTTGCTGCATTTAAAAGTATTCTAACATCTTAGGGGGAGGTCCGAGTCCGCCCCAGGAGTATTATCACATTGTTTAGATAATCAGTCTGTAAAGCCAAATTCTGCGAGTATAGCAATATACAAGATTAATATTCTAAAGTATAATATTGAATACTGTTAGCGTCTTAAACTAAAATTTTAGAAAAAAAAAACTTTGCAAATGAAAAAAAACCAACTTTTTAAATATAAGGAACTGTGAAGCAATAACTTAAAAAGCAGGTAAGATACTGATAAAGAATATAAAAACTGATTATACAATGCATGCTAAAATGTAATAGATGTAGAAAATCATTTTTGTCACGTATTGACTTATTTTAGTGTTTAGTATGGTACCGTATAGGCCTATTAATGAAATATGTATTTGTATCAGCTGCAATCACTGAAGTGATCGTCATTTATGGCTTCTGTCTAACCTAATATTATTGATGGGTCCTATTAATAATTAAAATAGGATTTTTTAAAAGTATATTTAGATCTACAGGCTTATTGAGCGGGCCCCCAATATCTCCGGGCCCTAGTGATTTACACTAGCTACACTACCGTTACCTATACTACGCCACTGGTCATTACTAGGCCTATACCTCAAATATTAAGAGGTAATTTCACCGGTCAATCTAATTATTTTGTATGAAATGGGCTTCACTTGATTAGTGTTTACACAGTATTTTCCAGCTCCTTCCTATATTGTTTTTTTTTTGTATTTTATTTGCATTTAAGAATATCTATACTCATGGGCGCAGCAAGGGTAATTTTAATTATTTTTTTTTTTTTTTGTGGGGTGAGGGAGGGGTCCGGCCTAGCGAGTGAGCGCAGAGAGCAAGTAGTCTGGTGGCCAAGGGTCCGACATGGGCCCCCAGTCGGGGTCCAGGGGCCGGAGGCAATGAACATTTGTGTTTTTTTACGTGATAAAAATGAAACTGCCAGCCTTGATCATCTTTAGGTTAAATTTGGTTAAACACAAAAAGGCTCTTTTGCCCAATGAAATGTGTACATTTTTACAACTACTTGTAATTGCTACGAAAGGATTGGATCATACAAGGATAGTAGATGTTGTCTAATAATACGTGCGCGCACAACACTCGGTATGGAATTTCTCGTTGGCACTACCGAAATTCATAGATTGTGGTGTGTGAACCGGGGGTCTGAGTATAAAAACTGATTTTATTATTATTTTTTTTAAATATAAATAATTTTTGTTTGCATTGTCGTTCAGTCATTGGGGATACTTTTTATAATTTGAGAGGGGGCCTGGTAATTAGGTGTTTCTGCCATATTGACGCAGTAGCTTCAACCACAACAGGTACCCATATATTTTCGCTTGTGTCGTTGAGCAAGACACTTTATCTGCATTGCTTCTCCCCACCCAGGAGTATAAATGGGTACCTGGTGGGGTTGCATACTCTTGCTCTGAATTACAGCAACACTTAACATGTGGACCCAATGATCAGGAAAACGAACTGCGCTTTATAACTGCAAGGAAGAAAACGTGTAGGGATGCGTTAAAGCGGAAAATTAATTAAGTTAAGTCCATTTTGTTATAGAGGGGTGTCATGATACAAACACTAAATAAAATGCTAATACACACAACGTTAGTTTTTATCAGTTTTTTTTTTATTCAATTCAATTCACACAACATTCAATTATCAAGTATGCAGCTAATGTATTATCCCTACTACTGCATGCAGTACACACTCCAGCCCCAAGCAAAAATGGGCCTATTTGTTTCTCGACCATGCATTCTACACAAATTTAGACGTTGCTGTTTATATCTATATTATAATTACATAAAAAATAGAAGATGATAATCTAGACATAATATACTTTAGATTCGATATATATTGTTAGCAAAACCATACATTAAAAGACCAAACTTGCATGTATATACACTCGGGGTGAAGACTCTTATACAGTACCGCAAATTCAGAGGTTGTATTGTAGTAGAATACTACTGATAAAATAATAATGCTCAATATATTATCAAATGATTTTGTAGAAATATTTGTAGTAAAAATTCCAAAATTAATCCTTTTACCATGCGCAGTAAAAGCATAAACTCCCCATGGTGTGGTGGTTTTACTCAGGGAAGTTAAATTACTGTTCCCTGGTTTTGGTTTTACTGTGAGAATTGATAAGTAAAAGTTTAAACCAATCAGACTCATCAAACTTTAGTTATCGTTGTAACAAACAATTTACCACAACAGCAACAACATGAAAAAATATTACAATTTCAATAAACTAGAAATTTTTTTTGGGTGAATTATGATGGTATTTAGCATAAATTTCCTGATTAGTGAAATATTATTTATGCAAAGAACAATTAGCATATTCACATACGTACTACACAATAGCCTCCATCTTCTTATTACCATCTTGCATTGTGTAACTTGGATGTTCATCATTCAAAACAGATCTATTAATCAATCAAACAATCAATAAGAGTGTTTCTAGAGCTCCTCATAACAGAGTGCCCGAGTGCCAATACGCGATTTGAACTCACAGCCTTTGGTTCCTTAGACCCATCGCATGGTACCGTCGCATGGATGGTACGTAACCAGCCGCACCATCCATACGACATGTATATGGTGCGGTTGGTGAAGGCAGTAATGTGGTAAAGGCAATTGTCCTTGCTGAAACCTACTCAGCCATGAAAAAACCACAGCCAATCTGCAAAAAAACACAACCAATCAGCAAAAAAGCACATCCAATCAGCTAAAAAGCAAACAATTTGCAGGGTTACTCCTAGATATCCTCATCGGAGCTAAAACATTAAAGTGTACGATAAGTACTGATACAGTACTGATAAATTCACATATATATATATATATATGCATTCTATATTTTTCATAATTTTCTAAACTTCATAGTACTTGACACGTGGAAGAATACACAGCATTTCAAACATTAAATTTGCAGCTAGCAGAGCAGTCGTCCCAAGGGGGTCGTAGGGCGGTGAAACTTCTACCAAATCACAGCCAACCAGATTTAGCCCTTGCAATCCTCGGATTATTTCCAGAGCTTGCATCACATTTAGTCCAGCGATTTCAGGAGTACCTAGGATATTATAAATTACAGTACATAATATAAAAAAATAGAGGCATATACAATAGTACTATTAAAATTCAGGAGATATAAAACAAAAAAGTTGAAATTATTTGAATCAAAACACTGTATTTCTTTGAAGGGCTATGCTGGATATGCTTATAACAGCATCTTTCTTTCCAGCATTGTAACGGTTTTATTATTATCTATTGGTTTCTATTGTGTTTACGGTGATACGCAGCAAACCTAATTTGAATATTATTTACTATGATTTCTAAACTGCGACATTTCTAGCTAAACCACTATATGTGAGCATTTTAGTCAGATGTATGAGAGATGAGCACCGTCTGTTTTTAATGGCGGAACTTATCTAAGTAGCAGTCAATCACGTTTAAATGTAGTGCCGGGAGGATCACTCAACTTGACCTCAGGGATGCATGTGTGTAACAAAAAATGTTAAAGGTAGTGTTTTTCATAAGCAAGCATGTTAATGTACATTGCATGCTTTGGGTATGACAACCACCCCAATTTTAAAGTAGGATATACAATCTATTTGAGGGTTTGAGACCATCTTTTGGGTACAGCATACCGATAACTACCAGGACCAGTGGCGGATCCAGGTATTTGAAATAAAGTGGGCCCTGAAGAGGGACTTTTACAGATGGAGGGTCTATGCTACTGTACCTCAGCCCCACCAACCATGGTGGAGGTTAGATTTTATGATTATGGCACCTCTAGATGGCAGGAAATGTCACTCTCAGACTCAAAAAATGAGTAGAATTTTCTTATTTTTTTCAAAATTCTTTATAAATTTAAAAAATTTAGGGTGGGGGGGGGGCAGGCCGGCTGAATCCGCCTATGAGGAATATTGTGTCACTTTACCAGCAATTAAAGCGTCCACATCACTGTACTACCAATTCAATCTCGTATTTAAGGTTACTTTTTACTCTGAAAATACTTGTTAATAGGGGTCGATTTTAACACATTTACAGTATGTGAACAGGGGTGTTTTTGTATGTAATTGTAATACTTACCGTATCATGTTTAATAGGTGCTTTCATAGAAGCATGGTCACACACATGTGTGCCCAGATATATTGTGAGTGGCCGCACTTACCAGTTCCTGGAGCAATGGAAGGATCAAGAGCATCTATATCAAAGGTGAGATAGACTGGTCCGTCACCCATCATTTCTCGAACCTCCATCATCAACGGTTCAAGGGACTTGTACCAACAATCTTTGCCCGTAACAACTCGGAAGCCCTAAGATGAGGAAAGAAAGAAATATTGATAGATTATTATCGAATAGGGATTCTTGCCTACCGATTCCACATCTGCTCTTACAAATGTCACTGAAAACTGGTACTGTACTGTTAAATTGACAAAGAGTATGCTGGTTGAGGTATGTTTTCTCGATCTTACTCTTGATTACAATAGAATGTATCTCGTTAAGTACGCAACCATATTGTTTTGTCGAGTATTTATCAGTTTTCTATTTGTCTGGTTGTCTTCCTAAAGTAGGACTTTACCACTGCACAGGCGGGCGTGGTTTACCGAAGGAAGACCAGACAAATACGGCCATTGTGTAAAAGCCTTAGATGTACCCTACTTGGTATACTCTGCAAGTAATCCAGTTATTATTTCCCACAAAACATTAAAAAAGAATTGAAATATTGCAATTATTATTCCTCATTAAATCTACTGTAGTAATGTAAAAAAAATGTGTGAATGAGTGTGCTACTGTTTCATAATATTTAATAATGCGACACTTATAAAGCAATTATGCCCTATCTGCAATGTGCCTTAAGGTGCATTAAATTATTACCCCTGGTCACTGGATTAAACACCCATGGAACACACCTTCAACTCCCTAAGAGCACAATTCAAATAAGCGGCTAGAATCAGTGTTGGTATTAGATCCAGGTACACACTTATACAAATGAAGACAAATGTAGATAAAGTGACTTGCACAGCGAGTGATCTGAACACACAAGGTTGAGATTCCGAACCACAACCCTTGCGTCAACCAACTCCCAATATTATTATTCAAACTTCAAGGCCAAAATACTATTTTTGTTATTTTATATTTCAGCATGTTTTTTTTTTTTTTTTTGTAGACCAAAGAAACTTGGTGATGTACGGTAGACAAAGACAGACAGGCATTCAGATGGAGAAGCGGCACAGAAGGCAGCAGCCAGGACAGGATGGTGATTATTTTTTAAAAGCCGTATGCGACATATGGCGCTAAAGGTATCTGTAAGTAAGCTGTTAAATATGTAATATATAATGAACACAAAATATATAGCCTACTTTAAAACCTAAAATGTATTCAGACTTCTGGAACAACTCAGAACAAAGGCTAATACACTGTCAAAAGCTACTATTGTACAAGCATATATTGTGTGGTGCTCAGTTGCTGCCCAAAGTCTAATAAAAAATATATAGTAAAATAGAGGCTCAAACTCACAGATTGCCAAGGGTAAGTACAAGCATGGTATTGTGTGGCTTGAAAAAGCCAGCATTTTAGAGCCACACATACCATGCTTGTTCTAAAATGCTGGTTTTAGAGCAAGTACAAGCATGGTATTGTGTGGCTCGAAAATGCTGGCATGGAGGCCTTGAGAAAATAAAGAAAATAAAAATTGACCATACTTAAAAATTACTACACCAATAAACACACCATAAAGGCTTGATAGACAAAAGCTAGAATAAGCAAGCACTATATTATGTGGCTCTCAGATCCCCTAGGCCCCTGGTTCTTAAATAATTTATTTGAAGGCCAAATTATCTTTACAATTGATGTCACCGGCCAAAGAAAATCTTTGAGTTTTAAGCAACTTGTTATACTTAATGGACCTAAGGTAAAATTCTGAGATGCTGTGGCCGAAGCCCCTTGTTGTGGCCGTACAGACCTTTGAGGTTTTTTGGCAATTTCAATTCTATTTTTTAATTGTATTACAGCTTAATCATTAGGCCGACCAGCCCTCCGTAGGGTGTGTTTCTACTGATAAACACAAAATAATTGATTTTTTTAACCCCTTTTTTAATGAGTACTAGACAGCCTGCTCGCGTTGCAACTTCATTTTTTATTTTTCAAAAATCGGTTTTCGTGACAGAAATTAAGTCACCATTTTGTTTATACAACACGTTGTTTTCCTAACTGTATAGGATAGTATCTTTCTCATTTCTGTCATGATGACGAGGAGTAAGATACGGTGTGGGGCGAGAAGGCAAATGTTTTCGGTTGTGCTCATTGGCACAATGAACGAGCGAAAAGAGTGGAGAGGCCTACTGTAGGCCCAATATCCCCCCCACAAAATAATTACAAAACGAATTCGGCGCTCCACATGTTTGTTCGTTTTTAGCTTGTAGGCCTAGGACATGAACAAGAGGACAAATTTTTTTTAAACTTCGCGCCTAATACGATTTAGTCTTTGCAGTGATTGACCTGGGGTCACATTTCGCCTGATAATCGCTTTTTTGTGTTGCAGCTAAAAAGCGCACAGCCAAAATCTGTTATTTGCCGTTCAAACACGCTATCCATTACATGTTTTTAATCGCTTTTTTTTAAGCGCTTTTTTCAAACTACTGCGAAAATAAAAGCGATTTTTCGAAAAAGCGATTTTTAATCGATTATTTCTTTACAGTAGAAACCGGCCTTTAAACTAACGTTACGTTATCTCACTATATTAATTGGATTAACACATTATCAAGGACCTAAGTACTGAGTGTTTAACACTGGTGTCCTTGGATTCAATTATGGGTAAACGGATTAGTTGCCTTTTTTATGAGGTTTTAATTGTTCTTTACCGCCGAAAGTGCGGTATTCTAACGTTAGTTTAAGGAGGGCTGGTCGGCCTAATGATTAGGACACTAAGTTCATTACAATTTTTGTACCATAAGATTGATATGATATTTTGCCAAAATAATTAAGACACTTAATTTTCCACTATTTCTTGCTTATTGATGATCTTTACTTCTTGCTTCTGTAAAACCATCACAACAAAATTTGGCCAAGATGGCAGGGGAGGAGCGTGTCCTAGAACCTCTTAAGGGGATATGGGGCAAAGACCCCGGAAGATTTCTGTAACGTATAATTCTCTTTGGTTTCAAACTATCGATGGCGACCCAAGTTAGAGTCGCAGACTGGTAGCCTAATAGGACTTGTCATGTCTTCTTTCTTTGTGCAAACTGTGTAACTGTATGCGAAGTAGCGTTTCCTGAATTGGGCATGTTTTCCACAAAGTAAAGCTACAGATATTTTTCTATCATATTGACTTTGATTATTATGTTTGCTAAATTGCTTATAATCGTTTACGCCTAACCAAATATTGTTACCTGCTCGAGGGTCCATATAACTCCCTGGTAGGACTAATCCTGTAGTAGTATTATTAAACCAAACATGAAGTTACAGGCATAATCGTAACAAAACTGTCATACAAGTTTGTTCAACTTAATAGTTTGGCACACAATAGGTATTTTCTCTGTAATTTCACCCATCCTATATCCACCAAATACAAGGGATTTAAAGCCTAAAAACTCTTCGCTAGTAAAATCTTTGGTCTACTCATAATAAAAAAAGAAGTCTATGGTAAAGTCTTTATTTTTAATCTGCTATATCATATTAAGTTTTGGCATTTGTCGATTGGTTGGTAACAGATTTAATTCTAGATCTGTGTGTTGTCACCCCTACTTCACATTGGCCCAGTGTTGTGTTTTGGCTTTCACTTTATTAAAAAAAAAATATTCATTGAATGGTTATTAATTTTAGTTTCTTTAAATATTTTTTATATAATTTATATTTTTTCTCGTGGGCCAGAATAATTAGCAAATTTGGCCCGCGGGCCGCCTATAAGAACCCGGGCCCTAGGCCTTCAAAAAAATAATTAAAACAACAGGCTAAATAATCCGTCCAAATAAAAAGCACACTATGACTTTAATTAAATGGTACTATAATAGTTATAAATATAAGAGTCATAGTATACAATGTATAGTTTAAACAATTCTTAAGCTTTTTTACTGTAGGTAGCGACTCACTTTCAGACTCCCTATTCTATTGTGGCACAAGGCATATATAATTTCATACTACAAAGCTTTTGTCATATGATTTACTTTATTTGCCACAAGCTCAATAAAATCATAATGCTATAATTGCCTTGTTTTTTTTTTGTTTTTTTTTTTATAGAAACCTATGCTAGTATAATCTGATAGCCATAGCACTTGCATCCTAAATTATCAAATAAATATACTACAGTATAATATGCTGATTGTATTTCTACAGTCAACCCCAGCTATTGAATACAAAGTGGCTGTGATAAATCGTTTTGACTCAGCAAAGCAAACAAGGTATTTTTTTATCGTCGATCGTGTGCAGAATGTTCCATTTTACAGTAAAGAGTGTATTTACTACACTCGTAATTATAAATGTTTAATGAAAAACATTGATGAATTTTTGACTTATGCACAGTCGAACATGTTGCTGGATATTAATCATGATTGGAAAATTTTTAAGTCAGGAGCAGCCTTACGACCCTCCGAAATGTTTTGGCGACCCAAATTTGGGTCACAACCCGTACTCTAGTTTGAGAAGCAGGGGTTTAAATCGCAGGTGGGCAAATTGAGTGTTTTTTTTTTGGTGGGGAGGAGACATGCGCACCTCATTTATACGCCACTAGCTAAAAGATATATATTTTTTATGATAAGTCTCATATAGTGAAGCAATATGAGTGGAGCTGCAGCTTGGTGGCTAAGATGCTTGCCTTCCAATCACAGGGCCTTAGTCAAAACACCAGGATTTTCTACTCAACTGAAATCCCTCAACTCCAATGGTGGATCCAGGAATTCAAAATAGAGGGAGCCCAGGCAGAAATTGTCACAGATAGAGAGTTTAATTAATTTTATGAATAAATGGCACTTCTAGATGGCCTAAAGTGGCACTTTCAGACTTAAATTTTTGAATAAATTTCTTTGTTTTTTTTTTTAATTTGAAAAATTTAGGGGGGAGGGGAACTTGGGTCGGATGCCACCGCTCTATAGCACTCACGAATCCTCATAACAAGACCATTTTGTGAATAGGACTGCCATGAGTAGGACAGTGATGATATAGTATATTCGATAGTAACTAAAGTTGTATATTTAATAATTGAGTTGTTAGCACCTTTTTTTGATTATACTAGTTTTTGCCCCAATTGATGAGGGTTCATCAGGTGTAGTGATATAGTTATGATTACACCTAATGAAGCTCAAATCATTGTGGCAGAAACTTGTAAAACCAAATTTACTGTTAGTCATCAGGGGTCCCAAGTTGGAAGAAGTCAACTGCGGGAGCAGGGGTGGCACTAGGGGAGCAGGGCCCCCGTTGGGGAGCAATCCCCCTATTCCTTTCGGCAGAAAAAACACGTCAAGGATTATGGTACCTCTAGATGGCTGGAAATGGCATCCTCAGACTTATGATTATCTTTTTCTTCCATTTTTTTTATTTAAATTTTTCTGGTACACTTGGGACCACTGAGTCATAGACGTGCTATAAACTCATTTATTCACTTGTAAATCGCATTGGGTGTTTTGGTCTATTTACCTGCTCTAAAGCCCACTGGTGTTCATAGACATCATTCGATGGTCCACGTAATCCAATTTGAATTGTCTTCTTTGGGTTTATGAGATTTTCATCAACGGCCCTTCGAAACGGAGTTCCATGAGCAATCTTTTCACCCAACATTGTGTCTTGTGTGTCGTTGTGAGCATCGACGTGCACTAAGCCAACTGGACCATACTTGTCCTGTGAGCAATTAAAAATCATTATAATTGTACTGTAGTATTATGAGTGCATTGGTTATATTCAGAGTGAACACCAAGGAGGGTATAATTCTGAAGACTTGCTATTGCTCTTTCGGGGGTGATTTGGCAGTACACAATGCCAGGAGACAAACCCCTCTCCAAAAGAGTGTACATGCACAAGGGTCATATTGCACACGGGACCAATGGATTATATGTCTCTTCTGAAAGATGTGTTCTTTTACATTTGCATTTCAGCCCTCCAGCTAAAACACAAGAAGAGTAGAGGATGGAATTGAACCGGGTACCAAAGGTTAACATGGGATCCCCATTGGTAAGCGCACAAACAACGGCTACCACCAGTTTAAATCTTTTGATTTTTTTAAAGATGTTCTCAGAGGGCTGGATTGACCATAATAATAATAATAATAATAATAATAATAATAATAATAATAATAATAATAATAATAATAATAATAATAAGCATTTGTCTTTTACGACCAAAAGAAAAAGCACATTCGATATTTATAGAATTGGTGTTTTTTATTTATTGGATTGACCACTGAAGAATGTCAATAATTATCTTGTATTAGTATTTATACTAAATAAAATTAAATGGATCACACCTGACATAATTAAACTATGTATGACCATGATCATGCAAAACCAATAAATATGGCAGCCGAACACCTTTTAAAATGGTCCATTTAAAAAAATGCTAATACTATTAATATAATAATAAAAAGAACATTACTTAATAAACTTTTTCTTCATCCCAGACTTCAGATAATTTCTTTGAATCACATGCCTTTGTTATGTTCACTGCAGACCTAGAGATCCCCACAGATGACTTGGTCGTCTGGAGCCAGGTGCGTAACAGGGGTCCTGGGTCAAAGGAAAACATTTTCCTGGTTAGTAATTTATCATACCCACCCTACCCCCCCCCCCCTTTAGAAAACAATACGACATAGGGCTTATCTTATAGTATAGGCCACACACGTGTGTTTGAAACTAAATATAAGCATTTTCCTCATGGTTTTATTTATTTCAAACATATTCTTTCACCATCAATACACATTGAGGCCCTTCTTTTAGGTAAAATGATCTATCTTAAATGTTCTTTGTATTTGAGTTGGGACTATCATATGTTCAATTAACTCAGAAGGCAAAGAAGGACAAGCACAAGTCCTCACCCTCAAAAATGTTTTTTTTAGTTGAGGGCTTATGTTATATATGGCCACACTAGAGAGAAATAAATGAAATGAAATGAATATCAAAATAATCAAAATTTATTAATACTGCACTAAACTAATCTTTATATATCTCTCATGCATGCTATGTTGTTATTTTCCCCATTTTCAATTTTAAAATAACATTTTTTAAGTTTTTGTGAAGGCCTCTGTCTGAAAAATATCCAAAATCATAATCATTAAATGCAGAAACTTTATTATTTATTATTATTATTATATTTATTTCCTCCATAAAATATATAAATATATAAAAACCTTACAGAATATAAACATTAAAATTGAATGGAAATAATAAAAGCATTGAAACAAGAAGAATATGCAGATTGCTGATAAGTGAGGTGGGCATACCATGAAGGAACAGAGTTCACGTCTAATAAATGTTTGGAATCCACAAGCACTCTTCAGCTAAACTAATCTTATCGTTCTATAAAACAGCTTTCATTATGTTTAGACTCCTATAACTTCATAATGAAATGTTGGATTTAAATAATTCTTTTACCATTTTATAACTTTCATTTTACTGTTTAACCCTGTATTAATAACTTAAACTCAATTTTTTTTAGCTTGTCATATGCATGGAATCATGCTGTCTAAAATAATTTATTTACAAATGGTTTTGGATGAGAAATAAATGATCTAAACTTACTGCAATAGCTTGTAATACAGGATATGTCAGTGTATGGTCACCACCCATTGTTAAAGGTATGCAGCCATTGGCTATCAGTGTTTTGTAGTATTCACATATCATAACACAAGATTTCTGTAAATTGTAGACGTTGATGTTTACATCCCCAACATCCGCAACCTGCAGAGACTCAAATGGAGCAGCACCTGTAAATTTGTATAGTAAAGTGTATAGTACAGTATATAGATAATGAATGTGTACATAGTGAGTGCAATGGGAAGAATATTTTCATAAGTTGAAGATTGACTGTACCATTCACTGAGGCACAGCTGAGTTGAATATGTCAATTTTTCAATGAATAAAACACTCACATAAAAACATTATGTTTTACAAATTTTAACATAGATTTTTGTCATTTATTTTTTTTATAAAAAATAAAACTAAACCTCTTTGGTGGCATTATTTAATAGTCAAAATGTGACTTCCAACAAAAGCCATCCTATTTTAGCAACAATTTGAGGCATGGAATGAAACAAAATATATGGAGTAATATGGTAACAGGACTATACATGAATAATAAATAGAAAAAAAATCATTACTTTGCCATTAAATGGTGCGATACCAAAAGTGTCACATGATAATAAAACCACCAATCCAATGACAATGATCTTATACAACAGATGATGTAGTGGAGTATACTGACGAAGTAACACTGGTCGAAGATGATGACAGTAATATTTTTGAAAGCTGATGGAGCTACAATGTCTATGTAAAATTGAGAGGGTATCATACACTACATGATTTTTTTGAGTTTATAATTTTTCAAAAGCCTAGTAAAGTAACATCTCGCAATTACGTACCCCTCCGTCTAAACAGAGTTATTAAATGAGAAAATTCATAATTCAGAGAGTTCAAAATTTTCATTGCATCTCAGTGTGGTGAGGGTAGGCCTAGGTCTATGTTGTAGGTAGGCCTAAGCCTTGCCATTGGAGCAACAATTTATCATGAAATATGACTTGGATTTTACTGTTTTCTGCAACAAAAAAACTCGCAGGGAGAACTGGGACCCCTGGATATTTTAGGCTTTGAAATTTACATAATACTTTGCAAGCCTAGAGCTAGCCTATAAATCGCAATCGTGTCTCCCACTTGCATTATGTGGATCAAAGACCGTGCCCAATCTGGTGGTAAATTATATATCACTCCACACACTAAAAGCAGTCATGCGAATAATGCTAGAATCACCAATTGAATAACGCTGCATCTTGTTTAGTTACCTGTGTCTGGGTTGCATAACCGTATCATTGGGGACTCCATACGAATTTGCCGAGGTCCAAAGCGTGTTCCGGTACGATTCGACACACCTATATCGAGTGGAATTCCTACAAAGCATACATCAAGACCTAAAGAAAAAAGCTTATGTGAGATGAAGTAAACAAGTGAATGATTAACTACAAAATGCACATCTGGTCGCCAGCGCATTCTGTTTTTACAATAAATCCAGCGCCTTTTGGGTGATCTTGAGGGAATGCTGCAGCCACATCAAATCATCTAAATGGCCCAAGATCGCAGCAACTAGAGAAAACTTGTGGTCGCCTGCTCCGCAGCCGACTAATGATGATGACTGCGCCCGACTGTCGTCAACGTGTGCGCAACTGATCGCTTTTAATGACGATCCATTCAGACTACCATGATAATCAGCAGACAGCATCGCATCACCTAGCGCTTACAAAGTAGTGCTAACAAAGCAAGACGCAGTGAGTGTTCAGCATTAGACTCCAGCTACAGAATACAGGAAAAGTATTATTTACATGTCTTTTAACTGACAGGGAAAATTTGTTCTCATTCTGATTATTATTTTTATTTACTAACTTGAATAAGATTATGCAACTTAAATAGGAAATTCAAATTTTTTTTTTGCCAATAATTGACTGTGTACATATGGACCAAAAATCCATTCTTGCAAATTCAACTAATTTATCGCTATTATTTGGTGGCAGCAAAACTTCCTTTAATGAAATAAATAAATTAATCTTCTACATTTTTTACATGCATGTATTTAAAATTATCTAGGCTACCAGGTTGACGCAAGGGTTATATTTTTGTGTTTTTCTGAAATAACAAAAACATCATGAACAATTAACTATGAGACCGTTCCAAGGCAAAAACAATGTAACTTAACAAAAATATAAAAGCAGTTACGAATGGCCAAATGAGACAAAGAGTTTTTTTGTTTTTACCGTCAGTTGTCTTCTGGATTGGTATACGGAACATTGAGGCAATGCCACCAGCCCTTGTCATATCATTACCAGTTAATGGACGATTCAATTCTAAAACATTGGAGGATGTAGAAAAACATGCAGCTGCTGACAAGCTATTAAAAGCTGTTGAGAGAAAAAAAAACGAAATATAACAGAAAATGTGTGCAAAACCGTTAGTATATTGGTAATTTCTGATATATTATTGACATGATGATCTTCTCAAGGTCAAATTTAAAACTATATTCATCAAAACAAGGAAATTAAAAGTAGCGCCCTATGATCACAGAATACGAAAAAAATGCATAAGGATTAAAAAATATTATAGATGGCTGGAAATGGACAGGCATACACTTTTCTTTTTTTTTTCTATATAAGAACCAATAAATAGGGTCATGTTGCTAACCTGGCTATAAACCACTGGCTCATGTACCCAGGAAATAGGCCTAGCCTAAAAGACCTCTTAAAATAATCTTCAAGAGCTAGGCCTAGTAGTAGGAAATTTGGCCTGCTACAGTACACTCAACAAGTAAGAGGGTCGCTAATTGCTAGCTTTCTATCTAGGCCTAGGTCAGGCCCTAAGCCTAGTTACGGTCTGATTGAAGCGAGCCAATAATTACCCAGACCCAGATTCTTGTACCTACCTGGCGAGTTATGCATACTACTACCAGGCCTAAGTTTACACCTCATGCGCTGTATGCATTTGGCTGCTGCACTTGCCCAGGGACCAGTTTGAATTACATCGTGAGAAATGGCTAATAATGATGAGAGCGATCGACTAAAGACTTGACTTCGGCTGGGGGAGAAGCACTGGGACTGCACAGGCCCAGCTGTCGTAGCAATTGTCCGAAATAATTTATACATGATTAATGATTAATCTGATCTCACTACAAAAAGCGACAGGAATAAGAACTGAATAAATATCAAGAGTACCGGAGTTAAGCCTAGCCTACCCCTCCCTCGAGTCAAAACCAAACAAGAGAAACGTTGCCTGTATGATCAAGATAATTGAATTGCCTTGGTATGATTCTGCGCATGCACAAATCAGATAATTTTCCGCAAAAATAATTCCCAGGGCTAGTCTTAGGGGAATCCCCTTTTCATGGCACGCATGTATTTTCTCAATTTTTTCGAGGTCTGCTCCTGATTTTGGAGTTTTCGCATCAGTAGTACGCAAAAACTCCGAAATTGGAGGGTTGATTAAAAGTTTTGCTCTACCTATATAGAGATAGCAGTGTTTAATTTCTTTCTTTCTTTTACTTATTCGGTCTCAATATATAAAAAAACATTACAAAAACAAAGGTTGCCACAATTCTAAACAAATTAGGCCTATCAACAAAAACAACAAAACATGATCAATTTTAGAGATACCAGGACAGGCAAAAGTGAAAACACTCATTAAAAGATGTGCCTGTCCAAACTAGGCTTACAAATTCATTAAGCAGGAACATACCAATAACAATAAAAAATAAACAATTTTATAATTATACAAATATAAATAATATAAATATAGGCCTATATATAAAAAATATATTTCATTTTAATTGATGTTTAGGACACAAAACCTCCGAAATTGGTGCAGAAACATCGATTTCGCTCGGCCATGGGACTGAGAAGAGGGCAGAGTCGTGTCAGTACTTTGCTGACACTAACGCAAATAATGGAAATTTGGCACGTGTAATTTCTGAAATATGAAATTGTAGGCCATATTTGATGTTTTTGAAGCCTGGTGTTGCCCATTTGCATCCTTTGCCTTATCATAATTCAGGGCCGGCATTTTGTATGGTTACAATGGCGGATCAAGGAATTAATAGGGAGGGGGGCCACAGTGGGACTTTCGCAAGGGTCCATCCATCTAGAGGTAACTATGATTATGGCACAGATGGCACTCTCAGACTTCAATTTTAATATATATTTCCATTCATTTTTGAAAATAATTTTCAGAAAAATAGGGGAATTAGGCCGTCCCGGCTGGGCTCCCCTCCCTCCGCTTTCGGTCCCCCTTTCGGATATCTCTGGATTCGCCCCTGAATAGTGAGCGTCTGTACACATCTAGATGTGTATAAGAGACAGAGGCTACCAGGTTGACGCAAGGGTTTTTGCCTATCAACAAAAACAACAAAACATGATCAATTTTAGAGATACCAGGACAGGCAAAAGTGAAAACACTCATTAAAAGATGTGCCTGTCCAAACTAGGCTTACAAATTCATTAAGCAGGAACATACCAATAACAATAAAAAATAAACAATTTTATAATTATACAAATATAAATAATATAAATATAGGCCTATATATAAAAAATATATTTCATTTTAATTGATGTTTAGGACACAAAACCTCCGAAATTGGTGCAGAAACATCGATTTCGCTCGGCCATGGGACTGAGAAGAGGGCAGAGTCGTGTCAGTACTTTGCTGACACTAAGGCAAATAATGGAAATTTGGCACGTGTAATAATATGAAATTGTAGGCCATATTTGATGTTTTTGAAGCCTGGTGTTGCCCATTTGCATCCTTTGCCTTATCATAATTCAGGGCCGGCATTTTGTATGGTTACAATGGCGGATCAAGGAATTAATAGGGAGGGGGGCCACAGTGGGACTTTCGCAAGGGTCCATCCATCTAGAGGTAACTATGATTATGGCACAGATGGCACTCTCAGACTTCAATTTTAATATATATTTCCATTCATTTTTGAAAATAATTTTCAGAAAAATAGGGGAATTAGGCCGTCCCGGCTGGGCTCCCCTCCCTCCGCTTTCGGTCCCCCTTTCGGATATCTCTGGATTCGCCCCTGAATAGTGAGCGTCTGTGTGTGTGTCTGTGATTGTTGGTCTGTCGGGCTTGTCGGGCTGTGTGTGTGTGTCCTTCAGGGGCCGGCGCGTGACTCAAAAGACTATACCGATTTAATTTTAGTTCAAATTTTCACACATTAATGTAGGCCTATCTCAGTCCTTCTCAAATTTGGTGCTGATCGGAAGTCAAATGCAGATTATTGTTTGTGTGAATGTGAATATGCAATTAAAAGCCATTATTTTTTTCAGAATAGATGACGCAACAGGGCGAAGGTTTATCCCAGATTATTTTTTACTACAGTGGCCTAATTAGAATCATGTAAAACAACTTATGTTATATACCGTAAAACCTCGGATTGAAGGCCAGGTGGGCTTTTTTAAAATTAATTAATTTTTTTTTTGCGTACTTTAGATGGGCTTCTTTTCGAGCCTACTTTTAAGTAAATTGGTGGGGTGGGGGCGCTTCTTTTCAAAATGAATGCTGTCAATTTTGTGAATTTATACCACTGTAACATCAATCTGTATCATGAAGTGTATTTAAATGGCATATAAACCAAGCTTGTTTTTAATTAATTTATTTATTTTTTTTTAATTCGGTGTTTGTAGGCCTACTGTATTATCTCGAAAATAGGCCCATGCTATCCTGAAAAGAAGCCCATAGGCTTCTTAAGTCAACTCGGCCACAAGTTAACTCGGCCACAAATCAACTCGGCCACAAAAAGTTCGGCTGCAGTCAACTCGGCTACAAGTCAACTCGGCCACAAATCAACTCGGCCACAAGTTAACTCGGCCACAAGTCAACTCGGCCACAAGTTATTTATAATTAAAATGAAATGTAAATATTACAGTTTCTGCATCCTTTTTCTTCAATATGATTAAAATGAAGTACACAGTATATTTTAGTAAAATTCTGATCATCGTCACATCGTCGTGAGATCGTTGTATACATTTCTTCACACTTTACTCTTATTCAACAGAGAAAACCCCCGGCGCCACTTACAGAATGGAATAAAATCTGACAATCGTAACATTAACAATTTAAGCAATCTTAATAATTAAGAAAAACACATATATTAATGTTTAATTTTGTTTGCGTTAAAACACTGACATAAAACATGAGTACATACTGTAGATCTAATCATAAAAAATTGAAATAGAAAAACCACATTATGATTTTTTAAATGTTAAAAATTTATTTTGAATCCGACTAAAATCAAATGAATGCACGATGGCGTGCATTTCGATACTATTTTCTTCAGAACCACGCCCAAGAATAGGCCTACGTTAAAATTAGGTTGGGTGCAGCATCTGGTATCAATTATCCACAATAGGAACAATGGGTATTGTTGTGTGACAGACTTCAGTCCTTCATATTTGTTCGACCATTGGGGGCTATGTTTGAAACCCGTCAGTGACAAGGATGCATCCAATGACATGAATCACCAGTGAAATGTCGGTCCTGTTCAAATATTTACTTTAATAATACTAATTAGCCATAATAACGATAATAAAGGTGATAACAACAACAATATTAATAGTAATATTTATTTTAACAATACTATAGTAATAATATGGTAATAATAACGATAATTAAATATCTATTTTAATAATACTAATTAGCGATAATAACATTGAAGGTGATAATAGCAATAATAACAGCAATAATAAATTAAGATCACGTTTATTTTTATAATAATAGTAATACTAATTAGTAATAATAATAATAATTATGATACTTATAATACTAGGCCTACTTAGTAATAATAGGGTAATAATATCGATAATAAAGGTGACCACAACAACAACAACAACAATAATAATAATAATAATAATAATAATAATAATAATGAGAAAAACACCAATAAAACACCAATAACAATATTTTTAAAATTACTATTATTAAAATAATAATACTAAGACCAATATATAATAATAATATGAATAAAAAAAATCGAGAATTTTGTATTATTTATATGGTAACAATAATAATATCAGCAAAAATTTAAACAATACATAATGTTAATGCTAAGACTAATAATTAATATTAAAGCTAACGGTAATAAAAACAACAATATTAATAACTGACACCAATAATAACAGCAATATTATTGTGGCTGAGTTGACTTGTGGCCGAGTTAAAGCCCCATTCCCGGCAAAATTTCAATTTTTAAGAAAAATCTAATTTTTGTATAATGTTATAAAGATTTATAAATATAATACGGAATTGCTAGTTTAACTGAATTTAGACATTCCTAAGAATGAAAAAAATGTAAAATAAGACTGAAATTTGATTTTTTGTGTTCCACACAAAAAATAAATGCGGATGAATTTTTCATGTTGATTTTGCGATAGGTCGTAAGAAGAAATATCGTAGGCGCCCAAAACATTAGCCTATCCAACGCTGCTGGCTAGGCCTAGCCTTACCTCGATTTTAGGTTCTGTTATCACACATAAAAACGGCCGACATGATATTTCCGTTGCTAGTATTGACGCTTGTGAAATATAATATTTCATAGGAATTATTTCGAATTTGTTAAAAAACTGATTCTGACTGAGATTTTGACACTTAAACAAACATATCTCAGCCTAACCGAACGACCGCATTGTGCGAGATGCGAAGTACAAAAAGTAATCTCATTAGAGAGGGCGCACTTTATTTACTGTATAAAGTATACATATATAAAAGCGAGAGTATTCCAGTGGATGCGATCTACAACCTCTGAATTTGCCTAGTAACGATGAATTTGTCGAGAAAATGGTAATATTTTATGAGAAATAGTCTGTATTTCTCATTTTTTT